AAAAAACCACTCTCTATTAATCAGAATAGTTTATGTGCAGCCAGAAATTAATCCTGAAATCTCAAAGGCTTAATTCATATTTATTGTTTGCATTACTTGTCCAACACAGGTGGGTGGAGTATGGGCATGGAGAGTTCTCCATTTATTCATTCAAGGACCTAGGTCCCACCATCTAGAATATCTCTGGTTTCTGTGGCAGGACAGAAGAGCTAGAGTATGCCTCACTGCTCTTTAATGCTTCAGCCTGGAAGTGACATGTTACATTTGCCCCCAGCCCATTGACCAAAGGTAGTCACAAGTTCTCACACACCCAGTTGATGGGGCTGGGAAATCAGAAGGAGTTCATGGATATTTGGTAAGCAGTAAGTGTCTCTTTCAAGGCTCTGGAGGACCTGGGATATAGAATTCTGTATGCTTAAGAGAGATATGTATTGCAAGCATCTGGTAGAGCCAGACTGCCTGCCAGATAACTAGCTTTGTGACTTTGGGCAAATTACTCAACCTCTCTAAGACATCATTTCCTCATCTGTAAAAGGGGCAGCCTGATAGGACAAACCTCACAGAATTATTGTGAGAATTAAATGAGTTTATATATGTAAAGTGCTTAGAGCATCTGCTACATATATAATTGTCTGAAAAAACAAACCAGATTCACAGCCATTGAGTCAATGCTGACTCATAGCAACTCTCACTGGGTTTCTGAGGTACTAAATCTTTATGGGAGTAGATTGTCCCATCTTCCTTCCATAGAGCAACTGGTGGGTTTGAACCACCAACCTTCTGGCTAACAAATGCCTTAGGCACTGAGCCGCCAGAGCTCCTTAACATCTGGACTGTTGTTGTTGCTATGTGCTGTTGAGTCGGACCTGACTCAGTGACCCCTCCTTGGATTTCTGAGGTGGTATCACTATGAAGTGCCTTAGGTACTATGCTACCAGAGCTCCTACATATGGACTAGAATGATGATATTGGGCAAAGAAAAGAGGGGCTGGAGAGATGATGATATTGGGCAGAGAAATTCAAAAGAGGGTTTATTCACTGACTCATTAAATAGCATGGATGGGAGGATAATCAGGTTTCAAGTTTGGGTGACTGGGAGAGTGAAGCTGGAGTTTACAGAGAAATTAGGAAGATTCTTGAGGAAAGAAGATGAATTAAAGTTCAGAAGTGATGATGGTGAGATGTCAAAGGCACAGGAGGCCATGGGAAATAAAGGAGTGTGCCCAGGCAAGAAGATGGAACTGGACCCATCTCTTAATGAACTTCTTTCTTTCTTTTCATTTGATGATTCAGAGATTCTTTATTAACTAATTTTTTTTCTAAAGAAAATAGTCTTTATTAACTTCTTTATTTTTTACTTAAATCCCTTCACCTATATCAAACCTGTCTCTTTATTAACATTTCAATTCATGGTGACATGCTAGTGTTCTGAGTCAGAATACAGGCACTCAGATTGTATAATTTGTATTTGAATCCTGGTATCACCACTCAAGTATGGCCCTAAATCTGTAGTTTCCTAATCATTAAAATGGGGATGATAATAGTACCTATCTTATAAAGTGATATATTGTTAGTTGCCATCGAGTTGATTCCAACTCGTGGTACCCCATGTGTATCAGAGTAGAACCTCTGTAGAATTTTCAAGGCTGTTACCTTTTGGAAGTAGATTGACTTCCCAGGCACCTCTGGGTGGGTTCAAGCCACCATCCTTTCAGCTAGTAGTCAAACGGAGTGTTTGCACCACCCAGGGACCACCCCACATAAGGATTAAGTGAGATAATGCCTTTAGAGTATATGGAAAAGTAGCATGTAGTCAATTCTTAGTAATTGTTCATTCTTAACTATTTAAGGTTTTAATTAAATAGAAATTTGAGGATTATTTTTTAAGTGATAAATTTTTCAAAGTTTAATGTAAAACAGACTTCTATTAGCAGCTGTTCTCGTGAATGTAAGTTTCATCCTCATTCAAAAGAATGGGCTACATGTTGTTTTAAGATCACTTCTAATTCATATTTTTTGTTCTCTCATTTTTCTCTTTGAGTCAGTGATCAAATGTTTTTAGCTTTACACATAATAACACATTACCATGAACTGAAAAGTCACCAAAATAGAATACTTTAAAGGGCTAATTTAAGCTTGGTGCTTCCCCTTTTTAAATTGTATTATACTTTGTTTTTTTTTTATGGGAGAGAGTAGCAGCCTTTACTCTTGAAATATAAAATTATTTCCAAGTTGAACATATTTTTGTATCTAAATTGACTTGTTGGGTGATTAGTTCGGCCCTTTAATACATTTAGCTTAAATTGCAAAGTCTTAAAGGGCACAAACTCTACTTTTGAAAATATGGCTTGTGATATAAAACGAAAAAAAATCAAAGTCACTGCCATCGAGTCGATTTCAACTCATAGTGACCCCCTATGGGTTTCCGAGGTGGTAAATCTTTACAGAAGCAGATTGCCCAGTCTTCCTTTTTGGAGTGGGTGGTGGATTTGAGCCACCAACCTTCTGATTAACAGTCAAGTGCTTAGGCACTGTGCCACCAGAGCTCCTTGGCTTATGATATAGCATTTTGTTTTTTATGTTCCTAAGAAGCTCTGGTAGCATAGTGCCTAAGGCACTTGCCTGCTAACCAGAAGGCTGGCGGTTCAAACCCACCAGCCACTCCTCGGAAGGAAGGCTGGGCAATCCTACTTCCGTAGTGATACTGCCTTGGAAACCCAAGGAGGGGTCGCTATGAGTCGGGGCTGACTCAACGGCAA